GGGCCGACTAGGTGGCAACAGTGTGGAGACGTTTCTGGTTGCAGACGCCGAGCAAGGTGCTCGCGCGCCGCCAGCGTTGCGGGAGCTCTTTGAGCCAAGGCCGGACGGTGCTGCCCCCGACGAGTATGAAGGCACGCGCGAGGTGCTCGGAAGCGCTCTCGCGACCTGGGTCCCCTACGTGTTTGCCTGCTTCTTGCCGTTAGTTCGGCAGCGGCTTTACGGATGCCAGGACCTGCGGACGGCTCTTCGGAGAGCAATAGGGAGACGGACCTTTGCAGGAGGGAGAGGAAGCTATGGCAAAGGCTGACATGAAGTCGGAAGACCGCCGTGATTGCCTGCAAGGCTTCAGCAAGGCAAGCCCTTGCTGCTGTCGTTAGCTTAGGCGTTGACTTATAATCAGCGAGGCCCCCACTTCTAAAATCGAGACGTTCGGCCTGAGCTCGATCAAGTCTGGCGTTTACTTGAATTGGGTCAGTGGCTGGCTTCTGTTTCGGCCCGATTCGCAGCCTGATACTCACCCAAGACGCTTGCGCAGAACATTAAGGAAAGGCAAAGAGTATACATCATGGAACTACTTAAGCTACTCAGAGTAGGCGCCTTTTCTACGCTTGCACTTGCTGGCCATTGCTTCCTTTCGTTTTCTCAGCTAGCCGCAAGCTGCTGCGTTTGTTGTGTACGGGTAGAGGATGCCTGCTCCTGGTAGGGTTTATTTTGTTTTGCCACCTGTAAGCATTAGAGTTGCTAGCGCTGGCGTTGAGTTGTGGAGGTGATAGGCCTGGCAGTGGTGTCTAATATTTTCTAGGTCGTTCCTTCCGTGTTTGAGTTTTATTCATATAAAGGCTCTCTGTCTTGTGATGGGGACCCTTCTACTTTTTTCATCTCTAGCGGAGTAAGATTTTTGACTATCTAAGTTGCGCAAGCTTATAGGAGATTACATCTGTTAGGATGTCCCTCTCCCTCCTCCGTAGTAGTAGTAGTGGCAATCTTCTAAGGGTCGCGGAAATTTACATGCTGGCTGGAATTTGGAGACCATGCCCTACTGCCGACTGATGGGGATGGCTTTAGTCTTTTCCTGGATCAACCGCCACCGGCTCCAGGTGTAAGCGGGCAAAATTTATGCGTGGGTCTAAGTGTAACGCTGAAGATGAGAAGACGCGCAGCAGGCGGGTCAGTCTTTCAGAGGAGCGCACTATAAATATGAGTTGCAAGGCGCGGCTTGTCTGATCTTCTGCCTATGTCTAAATCTACAAATTAGCTTTGGCCTGATCATGATTCTGATGGCTTTTAGCCATCCGCATGCAATTAATTGCACTCAGAATACTAGGCCGCGGCGCTCTGTTCTTGTTTGGCAAGGTGTGGCTGTTTTTGCGGTTCACCTGTCGCAGCTTGTTGTAGAGTGTGCCCGTCGCTCTGACGTACTGCTGTCCATTACATACTACGCACTCTATAGCTGTGGCGAGTTTTTTGTAGCACCGTAAGCACCTCCGGCCCCGGGCCCTAGTAGTCTCAGCCTTATAGATACTTAACGCTGAGCATATATTTACTATTGTCCTTTTTTGAACAGTTAGGCGCTACTTACTGGGGCTTTCAACATGGGAGCACCCTCCTAGACGGTTCCCCTTTCTTCTTTCTTCTATTCGCCATTATCAATCTCCTCGCCACCTTTCTTTCGTGCTCGTTCTTGGTTGCTGATGGAGGAGGTGGGGGCTTGTTCGATGATGACGAAGCACATTATGAGGTCGGAACTCAAGGCGGAGGGCTTGATGGGAAGCCGGCAGGTTCTGGCGGCACGCAAGGCACGGATAATGTTGCTACGAGGCAAGTTCTTGGATTAATGACCCAGGTCCAGCAGAGCAAGCCGCGGCTTGCTGCTCGTCATGCATCTCGAAAATATCGCGAGCAGGAATCGACGAAAACTGGCGGCGCTTACATCGAGCAGAGAAAAGACAAGTATCTTCCTCATGTCCGTAACGTGTTTGATTGGGCACACGGCGACGCGCGCAGAATGATAAAGCTATGTCATTTCTTTAGCTTTTTTGCTCGTAGTCGTAGTGATGCACTTTTTTGGCATCGTTTGGCCCCTCGGCCTCGGCTTCATCAATTAACTTCAAGCAGCACCACTGTGAAATCGAGCGTGCGACCATTTCGGGAGGTTTGTTGTTGTCGCTCAGAATTAAGATAGCCCGGAGCCACTTCGGGCTTGATGAAGTAGCGGAGCCTCCTGCTTCTTTAGTCATCTTTAACACCTTGCCACGAGTCGCGTGCTGCCGTTCGAGTGCAGAACTTTGGATGCTGGAAAAGCGAAATGTGCTCCATTGCCTAGACATAGACATAGAAGCGATTGATGTACTTACTCCCTCCTGGTCCAGGCTGTGGCTCTCGTTCTTTTTTACGCAGGGGCTGGACAAGTGCGGCCGCTCTAGTGTTGGCACTGCTCTACGTCTAACAATTATTGGCCCTCGCTCAGAGCGCCCACTTTCTCATCCTATTGCGGCAGCGGCTAGACCTTTTTCATCTATTTCCTTATAGTTATGTCATCATCTTGCCTCTAACCGTTCTTGTTCGTCTTCTCGTTTACCTGATCAGGGATAGCGCCCTGGCTATGTTGTACTAAAGGACGAAGCTTAGTTATTTGAGTTTGGCTTCGGTCTGCGTTAGTGTCTGGATTCTTTGATGGTAGTCGTTGTTCTCTTGCTGAAATAAGAGCGACGAAGTGCAGTAGTTGCAGTAGAATCCTCGACCTACGTAGTCATATGAAGCCTTTCGTCTCTGACTAATGACTTGACTCCGTGGAGCCGTAGGGCAGTAATACAGTTAGAAGGTCTTAAGCTTTGCGTGGATTGGATTACTTGCTTAGCCTTTTGGGTGGTGCACGGTTGCAGGCTACTTGGGCACGTCTAGACTTTTTGTCGTTGGTTTTTAGGGCCATAGACTGGCTGAGAAGCAAGCGCAGCCTCTTGGTCCTTGTGTGTATGTTGAAGAGAAACCATCCTACTCACGACTGACTCTCATTGGCAGACGCCTCTAATTTTCCTTGAAGCGATACGATGGCGACAAGGACTTGGCGAAGATGGCGCTCCTGAAATAATTGAAGCGCGTTGCTGTGGAGATTGACCGCCCCGACGCTGAAGCCATTAGTCTGGCGGGCAAGATTGGAGGCGTTTCCAGTTGGTTGGTGCATCTAGGGCGAGAGCGCTGACGCATCTGATAAGTTATGAGTGGCCCGCTTTGTCGTTGAGGGTGCGACCTACGGCAGCGTGAAGATGCTAGAACTCTAAACAGTAAGCGTAGCGGCTATGTATTTCCAGTGAGTCCGTCCGTGGCTTGGTGTTCTCGCTCTGCGTCTACATTTACTTTCACTGTGCTCGTGACAGACATTCGCTGATCTTTCTAACATGAAGCAACCGGATGGCTGGGCGTGGTGCGCGTTGGTTTGCGGAAGTTTGGAGGCGAAGCGACTTGCGTGAACCAGCGGAAGCCGGACAGGGGCAGGGGGTGGGCTCGCTCGAATGTTAACAAAGACGAATCTGCGTTGGACAGCTGTGCCACTACAGCAAAGGGGTTGAGAGTCGGTCCTTATCACGAGAACAGTTTGAACTTTATCACAAGAAAAGTTTGAACTTTATCACAAGAGCAACGCGATCACAAGAAGGCACTTTATCGCATGGAACTGAGTCAATTCACCCCAGGAACAGTATGGACATCATTGGCGAGTGCTGTTGTTACTGATCATCGTGCGCCTCTTACTCTTTCGATGGAGTGGATTCGAGTAGAGAGGCTGAATGGCCTCAAAAGTGACGCCTTAGCTAAGAGGTGGCGCGACATGACAAGGGGCATGGCTATGCGTGTAGCGATCTGCTCTGGTAGCCTCTTGCGTGAGATCGGCGGCTGAAGTTCCTCGCTTCGCAAGCACATCACTGCAAAAATGTTGAGTATCTGGATAGCTATCTGCGCAGGAACTTTTAGAGCTTTAGAATGCCTTGCAGCGTCTTCTGCTGCGCCTTATCGGCGTGCGCTCGGGTTAGATTCTATGGCTGGAAGAACACAGAAGCGAAGCGGGCAAGTATTAGGTTGGTCGCGCCGTGCTCGCTCTAATGTATTTGGGCTGCTTCTCTGTTCATGCTGCGACGCTCCTCCTCCGCCTCGCTTTATCTTGGCTGGTGTCTTGGGCGTCGTTACTTGCTTACGCTCACCTGCAAGGCGGCGCGGCTTTCTGCTTCGCGGGTGGTCGACCTCTGGCATTTCGTTTCAGCCAAGACGGAGGGTCGCTGTGGCCATTCTTTCTATGACGCCTAGGGGCTCTGCTGTGGGTCTCTTTTGCTTGAGCGGCCTTGTGCTTATGTCTAGAGCAAACTCCTGCTCGAGGCTGAGGCGGTCCCGATCTCTCCAAGCTGTCGCCGACTGAGGGTTTTGCCTCTCGCTCTCTGAGTTTTTTATCGCTGGACTTTCTCTCGTAAGTCCTAGCAGGTACTCACTTAGCCGGGTATGCTGCCGCGCCATGTGGTGCTGGTCTCTCGTCCGCTGGTAGAAGGCATGCGTCGAAGGATCTTCGATCGTGTTCGACGTTCATCTTCATGAGAGCGGAAGTTTCTCCCTTGAAAACATGGGAAAAAGAGGTGTCGCGTGTAGTCCTGTCCAAATTTGGACAGTATAAGAAGCTCGGTTCTCTTTTTCTGTAGTTCTCCCTTGAAAACATGGGAAAAAGGGGCGTCGCGTGTACTAGTCCTGTCCAAAATTGGACAGCGTAAGAAGCTCGGCCCTCTTTTTCTGTAAAAGTTGAAACTTTTGGAAGCTCGCAATCGTGTCGAATCCGCATGAGATTCCGCGTTTTGCCTTGGTAGTGTTGATAGTGAAAGTCTCCCTTTTTTGATCAAGAGAAATCGCAGGTTTTCAGTGCTAGAGTCGTAGTCTCAAGGTAGCTAATTGCAAATTTTCCACCTCAATCCCCATGGGTGTGCCCCGGTTTTCAAGGGGACAGCGACAGGCGACAGCGACACTAACGAGGAACCTACAAATAACATGATCGCCGATCTCCAGATCTTGATCTTATTCAGCTCCGTATGTACTTCTACTTGCACCTACGCAATAATTGCGTCACTTCGCTTGCGCTTCAACAGGTAGTGATTGCCTCTCCAATTTAATTTCTGAGTTCCTCTCCCTCTACTGAAATGTGATTTTTATCTCTTCTATAACAACATACAACAAGTACAACATCTTCACGACCAAACAAGAAAATGTTCGACATTGCTTGGAACGTTACGGACGATGCCTTTCATGGTAGAGGCAAATACGAACCCGACGCTGACGTCGTCTTGAAACGAGCTGTAGAATCCGGCGTTCAGGGGTGCATCATCTGTGGTGGCAGCGTAGAGGATTCTGCAAAGGGTCTGGAGATATGTGAGAAACTAGATCCTTCAACGACCTCTACTACTGCAGGTGACAGCTGCCAGTCAGGACGAAGCCACCAAGATTTGAAGCTGTTCCAAACTGTTGGCGTCCATCCTACCAGATGTGCTGACTTTGAGCCAGAAAGGGACCTTGGATTACTCAGAGACTTAATACAAGGCGCACGACCAAAAAATAGAGTCGTTGCATTTGGCGAATTCGGTTTGGATTACGACAGATTGCAGTTCTGCTCGAAAGAAGCGCAACAAGCGGCGTTTCGCGCTCAGCTGGGACTTGCGAGAGAATTGGCGTTACCGCTGTATCTACATTGCAGAGGCGACGGGTGCTGGCAAGACTTGAAGGATATCATGATGCTGTTATGGCATGCTAGGATCACATTTGCTTACTAGATCAGATGAAGTTTCAGTTTATTTCTAATTCTTCGTTTTTGGAAGTAGAGTAGACAGAGTAGGACATGCCGATGAATTTTCTAATTCTTCCTTTTTGGAAGTAGAGTTGTAGACAGAGTAGGACATGTCGATGAAGAAGAAGTAGATGATCGATTTCTCACTGTTGTTGTCGGGCTTCCTGTACTTCTGTATCTTGTCTTCGTTCTTCTAATATTTGGTATGAATTCGCCTGCCACCGCCATGCCAAACGGAGGAGTGGTGCACAGTTTTACAGGCACACTAGAAGAGTTAAAGGAGCTACTGGATTTTGGCCTTGACGTCGGAGTCAACGGTTGTTCTTTGAAGACCGAAGAAAACTGCGAAGTTGCCGCATCGATACCTCTAGACCGGTTGCATCTGGAAACTGACGCTCCTTACTGTGATATACGAAGTACACATGCTTCGTCGAAGCATTTGACGAGTTATACTACTCTTTCTAAGGATCATGGAAAGCAGGAGTACGCTGAGCAGCAGCCAGGAGAGTCTGAGCCGGTGGAGCACACTAGCAAAAACATCAACCTAGACTTAATCGACATCCCTCACTTACTCCAACAGCAAACTCTAAATCAGAAACTTCAGACTAAAAAATTTGACCACGGTAAAATGTTAAAAGGTCGCAATGAACCTTGTAGGGTTTTGGAGGTTGCGCAGGTGCTGGCGAGTCTGAAACAACTTCCACTAGAGAAGGTCTTAGATGTCACTGCACGAAACACAAGAAGACTCTTTCGGATTGCCTGATTTGTACCTGCAAGTCCTCCATGTCACATAAATATTCCTCTTGGCAATATCGCAAGAGCCAGCGTCAATGATGTCGACTTTCCATTCCTGGACTGCAGAAGTAAAAGCCTCTGCGTTTTCCCGAGTAAAAAATCTGATGTTGTATCTTGTCTGTGCCGCCTCGTCCTCTGAGATACGATCATTATCTCGATGCAGCATTCTCCTTCCACTCCAAAAATTTGGAAAAATCTCAAAAATGATCAATTACTGCAAACAACTGCTGCGTCCGCGTCCGTTCTCTGTAGTACGGAAATATGATACTCGGTTAATGCAATTTCTGTGAAAAATCGTCCCCAAAAATCATGAAGACAAACGGTCTGAAAGAGGTGCCAGTGTCACGGACGCAGCAGCTGCAATCTCTGTGTCCGATTCGGTTTTTCTCATGGTTTATTTGTGTGGTAAAATAAATCCACAAGAACGACCATGTTGCTCGTGACGAAAGAAATGCGACGAAAAAGCTGCACCAAATCGCCTTTCTGTGTGGTGCACCATCATGACATGTTGAAATATTGGATTTCCTTTTTAAAGCGTTTGATTTCTGCTGAAAACCCTGATGCAACAGCCTCGCTTCTGCTGCAAAAAGTGCTCCTGCCAAGGAGTCTCTGCTTCTTTTGAAACTCATTCTCATCTACTTAGCAGCTTCCTTTATCTTCCTGCGCACTATTCTAGTACTCGCATGATCTCTATTGCTACAAGAACTTTCCATCCCAACACCTACTCATGCATTGAACCTCCTCAACACCACGATTACCATACCAGGACCAGGATAAGTCGAGCAGCTAGACTTGAGCAGCTAGACTAGGAAATAACAGAGAAGACTACAACAACTACGAGAAGCACCTTTTAGTTAAGAGGAGCTTTGAATCAGTGAAGAGGTGCGCATTTTCATATATAGAGCTAGCTTGTTCCACTTCTTGGACCACACGGTGTTGTTTTGAAAAATTAGTAAATGGAAGATTCATATTTTCGTTTCTTATTATGAATGATTTTTTCAGATTTCAGTCTCATACATAGTGATTGATAGTCAGAGCCATAGAAATCATAGGACCACATAAAGTTGTTAGTACTATAGATACATAGTTGTAGTTGTTAGTAAGTTTTCCATAGTAGTAGTTCTTGTGGATGATTTTTTTCTCGTTAGTATGGAATTCTGTCCGATGTTGATGAAATAGTTGATGTTGATGCATTTGTTAATATTACAGTTCGTTGAAGATTCAGTTGCAAAATTATTATAGTGTCTCGAAAAACAAAATGAAGTTCCTGGCGACTAAGGAGAGGAAGACTACGAACAAGATGAAGTTGTGGACACTTACAACTGCATGGTGTTGTACCTTGATATGGTGCTTCAGCATTCCCCTCGTTTGGGGTGCTAGTATCTACTCGACCGATACTGTCCAAGAGCCAACAAACGACCAGGTGACACAATCGCTGCGAGCGCAGGGTGGAGACACGGTTGTTAAGATAGCAGACCGTAGTTGTACTTACTGATACTGACAGACTCGGCAAATTAGACAGAATTAGAGGACTTAACTGAGACTCCGCACCGCGCTGTAAATTCCTTACCATGAGTTTACCTCTGTGTAAGTTTTGCTTCAAAAACGGCTAGTAAGGGTCGAGCCTGAAGTGCATGACCATGAGCATTAGACTAACTAGACTCTATTTCTACTACGTATACTTGCTATGGAGTGTGAACCGAACGCACTAAGATTGAGAAGCATTTTGATTTGTTATTTCCTACTCCTTGTGGCTGACGCTGTAACATACACACTCATCTGGATCTGACGTCTACTTATCAATATTTATAGAAGACCACTAGCTACAGTTAGCTCTTTCTCTTCTAAAGACTGCTACGCAGACATATCAACCACTGGGGTGGATTCTAGTTTTGACACAGGAACGCCGAATGAACCAGATGTGGATCCAGATGTGGATGTCGCACCGCACAAAGGACAACAAGCGTTGGACGAGAGAAATAAAGTTGCAGCTTCCGCAGTAACAGAGGTTCTCGAAGATGCAGCAAGTCACTCAGTTGTAAGAGATGACATGAGCAAACCTGTCTCGAAAGTCGTTGGGGAGAAGCCTGTCTCGAAACCGAAAGTAGTGCAGGTGGGCGAAAAATCCGAGAGGACCTCTATAGAGACGAAGGGAGCACCAGGAACGACTGAAAAACCTCGCGCAAAGAAGTCTACTAAAGCTACGTCGGGAGGTAAAGGTACTAGACCGTCGACGATGTCAAGATCCTCACCCTCAGGCTCAACAGCCATGACGACAGCTCGACTGAAAAGGATTCCTTTCGTTGGCGACTACGTTGATTTTGTAACGAACCACTATGATAGAGAGTGGACGGAGAAAAAGATTTCTGAGATGAGGGACAAGACCAAGGACCTAGCGTTGAAGGGCGTCAAAGGTGTATCAAGTGCCGTTGCGTCGGGAGCTAGTGGTGCTTTTGACGCAGGTAAGAAGTTTGGGAGAACAGCGTTTATCACTGCAAAAGAAGACGGAGGTGGCGTCAAGGCAGCCTTCAAGGGAGTTGGACATGACCTGGCGCACTTGACGAAGAGAAAGCTAAGGGAAGGCGGTAGCTTTCTGTCCACGAAGGCTCGTGCTTTGGGCACAAAGGTGGCCGCGTTTACCTATAGGAAAGGGAACGACCTTGTACATCCAACGAGAGAAGTTTTAAAAGAAGCATTTTCTGATGAAGAAAGTGGAGGTGCTCCTCAGGAAATATTTTTGAATACCGTTACCAAGAACAAGGAAATTTCTGACGCTTATGTGGATGGACAAGAAACACAGGGATCTTCGCGACCACTCTACTCAAGTACAACTAAAGCTGGTCAGGAACAAGAAGATGCCTCATCATCTGTAATCTCAAGAACTTCTTCGTCTTCAATCTCTTCAGGAACTACAAGCAACAAAAACCTATTTCAAAGAGGATTGAGTAAGGGATTAAGTGCAGCTGGGAAGGTTGGCGAAACGGCTTTCAAAATTGTCGATCGCAACGCAGCAGCGCTACATGAAAATTTCGGCAAGATGATCTGTCACGGCTGCGGCCAGGGTTCTGCGTGCCGATGCTGTGAGGGAACAGAAGCAGAGATCGAAACCTGTAAGAAGAAGGCCAAGGATTTTCGTGAGGATGCAGATAGTCGACGTCGGAGCGAGAAGGAAGAGCTCTTGCGGGTTTCCGAATGGGTAAATGTTGTGCAGGCGATGGACAAGATTCTTAAAAGGTTGGTGACAGAAGCGCAAGCGAATGATCAAGTAACAGTGGATGAAAACAAGCTTCAGAATAATACACAAAAAATAAAGGCATCACGATCACCACAAGTCAAATTCGCAGAGCAAGTGCGTGAGCTTTTACTTGCAGGAAAAGCAGCGATCCTCGATCACACCTCATCATCCACTGCAGATGATGTTCCGCATGATATTTTTCCACGACTAGCTTTTGGTTCTGCCTTATCCGAGATGCAGACACGTGTTGTGACAGCTGAGGAGAGGGTTGCGGTTCTGGAAAAGGAGAAGGAAGAGGATGGAAGCAAACTGAACAAGAGACTAACGAATCTGAGACGAATGGTCAGGTCTAGAGACGCTGACTTGAAAGAAAAAAGTGATGACTTGAAAGAAAAGAGTGCTGAATTGGCCACAGTGAAAACCGATTTGGAGGCTTCTTATGCGGAGAATAGTGCGTTGAAAAGCGCGTTTGAGGAGGAACGCCTAGCCATTGGAAGAGCAGCGGATAAGACGGCAGAAAACCTGGCTCACAAAGACGGAATCATAGAGGGTTTGAGGACACAATTGCATTTAAGGCATTTAAGCATAACGATAACTCGCAAAACAGCTACTCGGTCCTTCCTTCTCAGTAGACGAGAAGACACGGTTTTGTTTTTTTTTGGAAGATGTCTAATACATGCTGCACAGGCACAAGCGAAATGCGATGCTGGTGCTCTGCAACGGGAAAATGCGGCTTTGCGTGATGAGTTGGAGGCAGCCAAAGCCGCATTTGACAGGGTGAGTCAAGAAAATTATGCTGTTCATACAGAAAAAGATTCTACTAATAATTTCTCTAGTACAACCACTATCACTCATATCCTAGGTGTAATCCACTACGTGCAATACAACGACTGCCACCTCTGGTACCTAGACCTACTACTTGTTTTCCCAACATCTCTACTTCTAGTACAGTCTTGAATTGGATAGTTTCTGAGTAGATAGTTTCGAAGTAGAAGTACTACTAAGGATGCGAATGAATGAAAGTGAGTACTTACTTAAACACGTTTGCAACATATTATCTCCAGCACTTCTAATGAGATATAAATCTGATTTCGGACAAGAAGAGGCTAAAAGAGCAGCTGGACGAAAAAGAGGAGGTCTTTAACCGAGATTATAATGGGATTTTGGCGCTCATCCAGACGCTTACTTTAAGAGGAAGAAATCCATCTTAGCAGCACAAAGTCAGAAGAGAGGTTGATCTAACAGTAGTCGTCGATCTGAAGATTCGAAAGAGAATTCAGATATCATATCTCCAGTACATGGAAAACGGTCACCAACAAGATGTAGTAGTACAACAAGATGGATTTCGTCTAGCTCTAATATGTGCTCGGGCAAACCTAATAGAGCACGAAAAAGCAGATGTATTGGAGGAATTACGAGAGGCGAAGGAGAAACTCCATGAACAGAAAATCGTTAAGGCTCTTTGTAATTCGTCCACCTAGGAATCTATCGGAATCAATCATCTTCTTTGGTCCCCTGGTGGTTCTTTGAATCTATCGGAATCAATCTATCATCTTCTTTGTCCGAGGACCCTCCACATATAATAATGATAATCTACATGATCTTCTTTGGTCCCCTGTTCGTTGGTTCTTTGAAGGAAGGAAAGCACCGCGAAGATGCTGCTCTTCAAGATGATATATAGATATGTAAGGTCAAGGTCTAAGGTCGATTTCGAGAAGGAGCGGGAGAAACGCACTCAAGCCGAGCACAGCTATCAGTCAGCGTGGCAAGGGCTGCAGGCGATGACAGCCGAGAGAGACTCCATTCGCGCAGAGGGAGAGTCTGAAAAGGAGAGGCTTCGTGTTGCGAGCAATGATTTGCGGACGCTTTTGGGCCAAAAAGAGACGCAACTGGCGAGAGAACATGGAAGCCTGGTATTAAGGCTCAAAATAATTCATTCCTTCTACAAGTTAGCCTTAGCACAACAAGGCCATCTTGGCTGTGTGTAGAAGTACTGCAGATCCTTGCTCGTATTTCTCGGCTCTTTTCTCCAGCTTAATACCAGTCATTTCTTCTACAAGTCATGTCTCCCGAATCCCAAGAAGGAAACAAAAGAAACAATGAAATAGCCCTAGATGGGAAGGTTTTCAGCTCACTCTAATGGAAGCAGCTCAAGCTGAAATCGGAAACCTGGAAGGTCAAATTGGATCCCTAAGCGCACGAGTCGAGGACCTGCAAGCGCAATACAATGCTGCTGCAACAGATAATGATTATGGTTACCCTACTACCGTTACTTCTAAAGCATCCATTCTCAATATTTTTATCAGTCTACTTAGAATCTTGGGTCCATCTTGGGTCCTTGGATCTTCTTTTTGTACTTGAGTGAGAAAAAGGAACTACTACTGCCACCATCAAGGGGATACTCATACTTAATCCATTGGATAAAAATTTGATATGACTCGTCCCAAGGTCGGAGTCAAGGAGCATGCTGATGCTGTGAAATAAGAACGCGGAGCAGGAGGTTGCTCTTGCCTCTCTAAGGTGGGCAGTTTGTGATGCAGCTTACGCAAATGACTGGAGAGATTGCTGCCAAAGACGAGGAAATCGAAAAAAGGAAGTCTTCTAGTGTTTGTAGTACGACTATGTTGCCGTGCAACGGATCTTCTTCTTCATCTGGTATTAAGGCTACCGCTGAAGCATCCTCAGCATTATCCTTGGCTCTTTTTCTACTTGAAAAGGAAGCCAAGGATGCTCTCAGGGATGCGACCGCGGTAGCTCTAAAAATGGTAGTGGTCGTGGACTAGATGAAAATACAAGATTAGTGGTGGCCGCGTATGAAGGATTGGGCGCGTCACTTTCTCTTTCATTGGCAGCATCTTTGATACAGAAGTCTTCGTTTGGACAAGAGCCGCAGGAAGTGCGAATTCTGGAAAATCCGCGGAGAGAAATTGAACGTCTCCAAACAGAGATTCATCACCTTCAAGCTATGGACCTACAGGAGCTTCAGTTAAGGCTTGATGTGGTCACCGTAATTGATTCATCCTAAGGAGCAAATCTCTGTTGAGTGTTGACCCCTTCGTTATTAGACTTCTGTAAGGGAGGAAAAACGCGTCAGGAGAGATGCTTGCTTTCTTCAAGATGAAGAAAAATATTAAGGGCTAACTCAAAGGGCCATCTTTCAGGTTCTGCAGCAGACCACAATGCAAGACCGCCAGAAAAGTATGGTTCAGCAGAGAATGAAGCAAATAAAGGACCTGGACCCGGAAATCGTGATATTCGATGTAAATGAAGCAAGGCTTGAGGACACAAAGCGACCTGAGTTTAAGCCACTGTAGCACTATCACTGAGTAGTTTATAGCACGCATGAGGTTGAGGTTGAGGTTGAGGTATTCCGTATGAGGTTGGGGTTGTATCCTGGTGAAGGCTTATTCAAGGGAAAAATGATACTTAACAAGGGGAAAAAAAAAGTCCAGAACTACTTGTAGATTTATTCAAGGGAAAATTAGTTGTAAGGGGAAAAAATATAATGGGAACGCAGCACTTAACCTCGTCGGACGATAGTGAAAAAGCACGTGTCCTCGGATCATTCTACCTAGGAGGCTGTCCGTAGTTGTCGGATGGATTTTTCCAAGCTCTAATGAGTGCATGATTTGTATGAGCAAACTGGCAAACTTCGCACCGAGTGGCTGTGGACATCTTGCCATGTGTCGCGGATGCCTCAAAAAGGATACAGACCATTGTCAACGTGAAAACCAGGGACGTCAAAGCTGTATGCATTGTAGGCAACCAGTGCAAGGAACGAACCCAGACGGACACCCACCAGACGCAGCAAATAATAAGTATTCTTAAGGCCAAGTGACGAGAAAACTCAGTCAGGTAAGTGACGAGAAAACTCTCTCAGCACTACTTCTTAAAAGTAGAAGTACTTTATCAATTGAACAAGGACTTTATCAATTTTTTGTTATTGAACAAGGACAAGCTGTAGAAGGTGCAAAATCTCACCCGGCGACAACTGAGACAATCTTCATTGAATGGTTCTGGTATTTTTGGTATAGCCTGAATTTGATCCTAAGGGAAAACAAGAAGAGAACCCTTAGGATCAAATTCAGGCTATACCAAAAATACCAGAACCATTCATACATGATGACAAGCGTGGTTCTTACAGTCATGACAGTAAAGCAGCAGAACGCTTATTGCTTGTTACACGACCCGCGATGTTAATCTGTTATTTCCACAAATAATAGGTACAAGTAGACTTCTAAGATGGTATGCTAGTAACCTAAAAAGATAGTGGAACAAGTTCAAGTTGTAGATCATGATTTTTCCGGCGTCCTCTCTAATCTCGAAGATATGAAACGAAGAGGGTTTTGCAGAGGCGCATCCTGAATTTTGGTAAGTGTGATCCAGCAGATTACGAGTGTGAGTGTGGCCACGTCATGCAGGACCTCTGCGAGTGCAAGGACTGCACTCCGGAGAATCCCAAGCACTGCCCTCAATGTGAACGTGGAATAGCGGGTGAGGCAAAAAGAATCGAATATGTGGATGCTACCGACAGAAACAGGTCCGCTCCTGCTTCTAGTACAACACCGGGACGAGGATTAGGATTAAGTTCTTTTTTAAGGCTCCAGCAGAGTATTACAATCATTTCAGGGATTAAGTTCTTTTTTAACAAGGCTCCAGCAGAGTATTACAATTGTTCATTTATCAGAAATATCTAGTCCACTTTCTCCAGTCTCCTTGACTAAAGATTTTCTTCATTCGAAATCGAAATGCATGCGTTTCCCAAGGTCATGCCATTTCTATTTTTAGCCATTTCGATTTCTCCCTGTTGTTGTTTCTGTTTCCTTCTTAGGATAATTCATTGGAACAGGCAAGAAGTGAATTCTTTTGAGCTCATCTAATATGAGGACCTAGACCTTCATCTTTTTGGGGATCTACGTCAAGCACAAGCGCAAATAGGAAAAATATCATAGAGCGAAGCAAGGAGGATAAACAGACTCGGGTACCGCCGGTTAGTGAAGCTAGCTGTTTTTTCAATTGCAAGGGGACTTGCAAGAAAGCCTTTACCGTTATGGTCAACAGCTTTTTTGTCCATCTTGTCTCTCGGCATTATCTTGGTACTAGGCACCCTTTTGGCTTGTCTTCTCAATCTCAATCTCATTTGAAGCACTTACAACACGGGCATCAAAGGCACCATGATCGAGATGAGAGGACCAAGATAGTACAAGGGCAAATAAGGTACTGTCCTTATCGAGATGAGGCGATCAAGATAGATCAATACAACAAGAAGCTGTTGACAGATCTAATTTCACCAGATACTGCAGTACTGAAAACCCAAGGAAGTGTCCCGAATGCAGGGGCAACTTACAGCAGAAACTATTTGTCCCAAAATGTTTCGATAACGCACCTCCTTCGGCTCCATATTAAGCTGGACGTAGTACCATATCATTATTAAGCTGTGGACGACGTAGTCGAGGACGAGGTCGAGGAGCAGAGCCCTATGAACTACAGAAAGAAGACGAAGATGAGCAGTAGTAATAACCTCTTGTGATGAAAATCTAAATCTACTTCGCGAAGCGAGTATCAGTTTTCCTTTTTCTTTCTGAAATTCTTTTCTCCTCTCTCAGTCTCTGTCTGGAAATCCGTACGAAGCCACACTATTTATTCGGCGATCATCATCATGATGGACAAGGTCCACCTTCAGCTTGCACCGTCGTCCTCTTGGACTTTCAGCATGGTAGTTGTTTGCTCTGTTTTTAGCAGCGACGAGAGCACTGCAGCCTGTTCCTCTTCTTCGACCTTCTTGCTGTACTAGTTCGCTCTTCTTCTTTGCTTGAATCATCAGCACTTCCCATTCTTTCTTGTTTAATAAAAACGTGAACGTTTTGTAACATCATGATGCTATTACCGGTTTGTTCCTTTCCTGGTACTAGGGCATTGTTTTCAGTATCAAGTGATAGGTACAAGAACAAGTTAGAGCTTAGAGTTACAACAACTACATACTACATATCAATCACATTAAGATTAAACGCCATAAGAGCGATAGTTTTTCACTTCTGTATAGTAAGTTACCAGTATAGTAGATGTAGAAGAGGCACACAACCATAGGACTGAGCACTCACTGGAGGCGTTGCACAGGGCTCCGGCCTGCCTTGGAAGGTGAGACCTCTGGGGCTGACAGGACTACGACAGCGCCGGGGCTTAGTTAGTAGCACTAGAGAGCTACTTGATTGATTCTTTGCTTTTTTTCGGTTGTGTTTTTTCTAGTTGGGTCTGCTCCACCAACAGTATAGTTATATTAGAAGAATTATAGAAGAGGGATAGTATCAGTATATTAGGGTTAGGGTTACCCAGTTGTGCCTGGGCCTGGAGTTACAATTTTATAGATAGACTTTGAAAGAATTTCTAGGTTCATGTTTGGACCTGGAGTTACAATCTGAGATAGACTAAAGGAGGACATGTTTCCATTTTTAGGAGCAGCCAGTCATCTTCACAATCTGGGTTTCCATTCTTGGATTTACAACATGGGTCCACTGTTATGGAGACTTCTCCAGATCCGAGTACTAGATCTTTTCTCCTATTATGGCAGTCGTGTGGATGCTTTTGCCTTTGGATAAAAATGTAATCCGCGGTCTCTTATTTTCATGAACCAAGTGAATGAGCAAGGTGCTCTTTTTTGGATGTTGTTTTTTGTTTGTAGCTTGTTTCATTCTGAGTGATTGGTGTTTAGTTTTTCTCTCTGTCCATAAGAGACAGTTCGTCTTCGACCACGTTCTTCGGCTGTTGTAACAGGAGTGATCCTAAGTAAGATAATTGCAATCGATGTTTTTTCGGTATCGTTATCTTCCGATTTTTATAGACTGATTGCAAGAATAATGTCTTTCTAATTCTTTTTCCCCTGGTGTCAAAAATTCAAAAATTCAAAATGAAGAAGGAGCTTTGACACATTCACATACACAGCCTTTTTTCCAAGGGATTTGACATCATGTCGTCGCATCGTGTTCTCTGAAGATGATGTTAATGCGTGAGTTCTTTGTCCGTCTCTACTCCGATGTTGAAGAAGTACAACAAGCAGAGCAAGTGGTCTCTCATGTGTGTCTCTCATTTTTCTTCAAATGGTCGTGTTTGCAGTGTGCTCTTGTTGACGGGAGGAGCTGCAATAAGAGATGAAGTCTAGTACAGACTCTCCGAGGATACAGGTCAAACTGTGGACGGCGAGCCAAATCCTATCCTATCGCGAAGCGAGTATAAATGAGTTTGGCTTTCCATTTTCCCGTTTCTTCTTCTCACCACCGTTCGCTTTTCATCTCTCTCCGCGACCTTGTTGCCCTTGAAAGCCGAAAACGAAACTATTGACTTGAAAGCTGTGACTTGCAGCGCTGCTGTTGTTGGCAAGAAGTGGCGGCCCTTTTCTAAGAACTCAAAAACAGCGACTGCTCTAAGAACGGAAGACGATTGCAATATGAAGACTGTTCATCTGTAAGAAAAAAAGACGACCGCTGACTAAGTATGTAAACTTAAAAATCTTCACCTCTCAACTGAATCTTCCTGAACTCCATCTGACTCCGACAGGTACCCAATGAAATTGATGAAATTATGAGTGATGAAAGAATAACCGCTAATTATTTGATAAAATGAAAATTTGACGCCCGTTAGGTCATGGTTGAAAACTGCCCAAAGGCTTAACGTTCTTGCATACAAAAAAAGAAACGTTGGCATAGAAAAAAAAAAACGTTGGTCTGGGTGGAGTACATGAAAGGAAAATAGAAACTTAACCCATAGCGACCTCCACAGTTGAATAAATCCAAATCGTTAGACCTCCGCGTCATGCTCATGTGACAGACCGTCTAGTTCTAAGTCATCAGCCAACCTAAGTCCTAGAAGAGTAGATATAAGAGGAATTTATTTCCATTCCCCAACGAAGGCCAATCACTATACTAGAAGGCATCACGACTATACTAGAAGGCAGCACTGTTCCTGTACGCGTCCGTCACTCATGACCCTCAGTGTCGTCCTCCTCGGGCGAATGTTTCACGGATAAAGACGGTCCCGTCGACAGATCAGCTCCTGACGGCACTGCCTAAACGTCGCGGGCAGGTCTTATCTGAGCTGCATTGCCGGGCGTGAACCGCGAACGTGAATTAGTGAACGTCAAGAAAAGTCTCCATAGAAGTCGTGCGCGCTCATCTCCTCAGAGGTGAGCCGACTCCTATCGATCCCACTCTCGCTCTGGACAACAGCTCTCGAACCAACAGGTAAATGAATGTAGTGTGACATCGACTGCTTCTAGGAGACTATTTTCATAACACATAGTACCTATATTTGGTCTACGATATTAACATTCTTCTACAGCCGGATGGATGAGAATCTTATACATTGTTGTTTATCCGACAGAATAAAGAATGTGAGCAAAGTGATGTTGACCACTACTTAGAAGAGTGTGTATTAAGTGGTCTATGATAATCTGAACCCCTACCCCTAGAAGAAGAACTTACTGTAAGAGCAAGACGTGGAGGTGGAGCGGGATAATATTATAGTATACATAAGTTGTAGGAGTAGGAGAAGATCATCAACAAGAAAACCAGGAGATAATACGTAGTTGGAATTTTTAGAAGAAAAGATGAGTTGGTGGTTCGCGAAAAAAATGTTCCAGCACACCCGGAACAACATGACGACATCTTCAGCTCTTTGTTCGTGTCTTTTTGGGTGTTGTTGCAGATAGAGACTTAGACGAACAAGAACGACAGCTGGTCGTGGTCGCGGGTGGTCTATTCATCTGGATAGAAGCTGCTGCAGGTACGACTCTACTTCTCGACAGTGGGCGGGCAGCTACAACTAATGACCCTACGTCGATCATTTTCCGGTTCATCTTTGGTTTTTGCATCGAACAACAAGTCTAATGAGGGCCGCTTCTTCATCCTGAGCTGAGTATGTAGGAGACTGACATCAGCAAGCAGTAGGAGACAACTGACAAGAACCATCATTCTACGGAAATATTATCAAGTTAATACTAGTTCTTGAGCCTCGTCTATCTCAATCTCGTTCACTGGTCGTGCATGGACATGGAGGTGGCGGTCGTACTATATTTTTATTGAGGATCAAGATAGATCCTTAAGTACCTCTTCCACGGTCCTCGACGACGTGGCGGCAGATGGCGGCTGGCTGCAGAAGTAGAGGATCTTCAATTGCGGCCGTTGCGGCTTGCTTTGCACAACGGCAGCAGAAGTAGAGGATCTTCAATTGCAGCTCCTCTGTCGTGTGTCTCAGCTTCCTTCATGATAATTGATTCTGACACTAGGAATTACATTATGTTGAGGTTAGGAATTATTGGGAGCAGCTCTAAGACTATTTGACACGACGTCGAGAAGGAGACACACCCAGACCCACCAACATGATTTGCGTGTCCTAGAATTACAGCAGCAAAAGCTTTTCAAGGACCGACAAGCGGGTTGAGAATCTTTTACAGTTCCACTACTAGCGGTTTTCCAGGAAACCAGTACAACATGGTGATGGTTTGCCGCGGCTGAAAGATCTCGCTGTCCTAGAATTACAGCAGCAAGAGCTTTAAGGGAAGATTTCCATGACAGCCAACAGGAGTTGTGCATTCGTCCTGCGCATCAAGAATAACGAACTTCATTCTTCGAATCGAGGACAAGCAAATTACATTCGAGGCACGAACAATAAATCAAGAAGCACAAGAAAACCTCCAAGCGCAAGAGTGATAAAAAACCTGGTGTCCGCAGAATGAATACTGGTGGATGTGGGCGGGTGTTTGTTTTAGCTTTTTCCTTCTATTGTTTATCATACAGTCGCACGTTGTTGTAAAAACTTGTCTACAGCTCATATCTTCACGACTTCAATAAAACGTGAAAAACGAACGTGTGCAAATTTTCCGTATTTATTCAGTGTTTGCTCACCTTCTTCTTTCTTGAAGAGGCTGCCACGTGAAGAGTTGCGTATTTGTGTTGATTTCAGATTTTTTGACTCCTAAATCTTCTTTCCAAAATGAAGTGAACTTCTTCTTTTGAGCAGGAGAAGGGGTCTAATTTTCGTTTGTGAAAAATCCCTAGTCTTATGTGAATGTGAACGAAGTAGACGGGTACCAGATGAAAGAATATTAAAAGACCCGAGGTCTGCTCTGCTAACAACGAAATAGGACTGCATTGGTACTATTTTTTTTGTCCGGTTGTTTTTCATCGGTAGAAGTTGTGCTCTTGTAAAAAGTGGTGTGAAATATATTTTGTTGCTGGTCATTGACTTTCTCTTCAGGAGGCACTTTTCTTCCTGCTTAATATAATTAAGTAGTATTTATTGCAGAACTGAAAAGGTCGAAAGTTCGGAGGACTTGCTTGCTATGGATATTGCTCCAGGAAGTAAAGATTTCGAAAAAAAGAGGGCCTCATGGATTCAGCTTGGTATTGGTCTAATTATTTTCATCCGGGGAATTACGTTCCCTACAGGATAAAAGTGTAAAACTGTTGTAGCTCTACCCAAGCCAGTTGAGAAGTTTACTGTTATGCTCCCTATGTTTGTATAGGATAATCTAATTTGAATTGTTACCCACGATACCTGGCTGCTCACCGCGTGTGTAACTTTACTGTGCTTCGAGCAAAGTCAGACCACAAAGCAGCTATCAGGCATTCCTTATACTTATGTTTATAAATGTAATCGTCTCGTCTACTTCTACTTCTAGTTGTAGCTGGAAGACTAATTCGCCAAGGTATTTTCATAAAGAGAAAAGTTGTTAAAAGAAAAATATTTACACGACAAGCGAGGGCGTCGCTGGGTGGTTCTTGGTTGGATTTGAGAGTCACTATTATCGTCACTTCTAACTCTTGTTTTGCCACAAGTTTTACATCTCACAGTAGGTAGCATCGTGCCGAACAGCTACGGCGCCCTTTTGGATGTC